CATCCGAATGATGAACTTCATTCATTTCTACAGTAATATTAGATCCTCCATCGACATAAATACCTGCTGCACTAGAATCATATACCGAATGAATGTTCCACACTGTATTATTAGCACATCGACCGGAACGAGCTCCAAGTGCTCCCATACCACTTTCTCCACCTATCAAACAAAAAGAAAATCAATGTAATAGATTAATCCGATTCACATAATAGAAATGAAACATGAGAATTCATTGAATCTTCTTTACTATTCATTCGAAATCTTAACGTACAACGAGACAAAGTTTTTCGTAAATATCAACGATTTTTTCATTACATGAAATCAATGAAAAACAAATCATTCATTTATAGAAAAGTTTATTCTTGTCATGTTTCAGCGTCTAAAATGAGTCAAACAAAAAATGAACTATTTCAGTACATACCAATAAAGTCGATGCCAATGTTGTTCATATTGTAGACACGATTGTTTGTTATTTGAAATTGTTCAACATTACCATTGAGAGTTAGAGCTTCACTCCAAGCTGGTTGACAATCATGTAATGTACAATTATCAATAATCAATCCACTACGACTCTTTGTTTGATCTTTGTTATAAACTGTAATTGCCATAGCTCCACCTGTTTCTCCTCCACCACGTATATGATGAATAAGTAAATTACGAAGCTCTTCAATATACAAGAAAAAACATACCTTAAGTTTCATATACAGAAAGATATTATTTCTATTGCATCTGTTCATGTCTTTCGAAAAGAGATTATGAAATTTATTAGTGGTATGAACGATAAAAACCCCTGGGTACTCAGAAAAAGGGAGTGTTGAATGAAAGTTGTAAATAAAATGCTGGATCATCAAAGGATTTCGATTTCTATTTTTAAGTATATTTGTGTTAATGAGCAACAGCTTTTATCATTTAGTTTTATCTCTTGAAAAAAAGCGGGGTGTGGGTAAAGAATGATTTTTGATGTAAATCTTTTTGACTCAAAAGACATCAAGTTTTTGTACTCATGATTACACTTAGTACTCCTATGATTTTAGTTGTATGAATTTGAAATAGTTTGAATATTTTATTCGCACACATGAACAGAATAGATAAAACCATACCAATCTGTGTGCCACCACCAACGATTCTGATGCCACTACATTCTGTTTTTGTTAAATTTGTCAATTCAAGATTGACAAAACGTAGATAGCTCTTGTTCTGCATATAAATTAAATTCAATGTTCCATCAGATGATGCAACTGTGGCACGTGCACCTGAGATAATCGGTCGAATATTTGGATTTAAACTAGTAAATGTAATTGGTCCACTTGTAGCGTTGCCTTGGACAAGTATTGTCACTGTTTCATAGTAAGTTCCAGGACCAATATAGACAGTAGAACCAGGAGTAGCCTTACTAGCTGCCTTTTGAATAGTGCGCCATGCATTTGATTGAGTCGTTCCTAAGTTTCCATCATTGCCAGATATAGTAACATAATATGATTGTGCTGCATCTATTAGTTTCAATGTAAAAAATTAGTTCAATTAAGTGAAAACAAACATAACTAGATATTCTTCTCTAGGTTTTTGAATATGTATATGTTCCTTTACCTGCTGAAGCAGATAGCCAAATGATGCAAAGACCAATGACTCCTAGGTGTGTGTTCATGGCAAGGCAGAAAATAATTTAATGTATGATGCAGTTTGGTATTTTTTCTGCGTATTTAAATAGGTTGCTTTTCGTTTTATTTTATAGTATGTTTTGATTGTATTCTTAAAAAAATATGTTTTTAAGCAAAGTAGATATTTGTGAAGCATTACTTTTTAGAGCAATTATTAACAATGAAAACCGTCAAATGCTGTAGCAATTATTCATTTTACGTCACAACGAAAAAATCGTGCAGTTGATTTCAAACATTTATCGCAGTGTTTTTTTGTTGCTATTAGTTTTAGTAAACTTGATTACCTTATCGTTAAAATAGAAAATAAAACATTTTTATCTATCGTTCGATCGTACAATAACGAATTAAGTTTTGTAACTATCTCTAATTTCGATCACAGTACACATACTATGATTTGTTTGAAGATAAATTTTGCAATTTTTCAATTACTTGTCCAGTTCATCCTCTTATAATGACCAATGCCTACGAACCAAGAGCCATGCTTTTCAGAGGAAAGAAGAGAAAAACATAGCTAGGGATGAAACTTCACACTTAGTTTGCTTTAGCGAAATAAACATAAGTCAATGAGTGATTGTTATTTTCCTATTTTCTACTTCATAATTTAATATTTATGATCAGTGAAGGGTGTGGACGTTAAACTTATATTCATTGTCATCCACACCCTACACCCATAAAACAGATCCATATCCATGGAAATGGATGTTGACAGCTGGTGTTATTATTTTGTGTTGTCATTTCATAATAATTAGCTTTTATGCTAAAGAATTAAAAAGAGAAAATGTTCAATTATCATTTATACTTGGTACACTTGATATAGTTTATGATTGTTTATCACAATATATATTTTTTCGACCTACAAGATCATCGATGTTTTATATCGGAGCTTCATTTATTGTTACATCAGCGATTATACTTTCAGTAGATACTTATCTAACGAATAAGAAATCAGGAAAAAAAGAGAATCAAACAATAATATTTGATGTATTAAATTAATTTTTTTATTGATTAGCTAAAATAAAATTCCCTATATTTAGTGATTAATTATTCCTATGAAATAAGAATTGTCGTAGAAAAGTTATGATTAATTTAGAATGATTTATTTATTATACTTCTATAAATTCTTAACTAAACTAAAGCATGATAATAATTTATCGTTTATATACAACAAGAATTCTATTTCACAAAAAGTGACTAGAACATAATGCATTATTGTTTTTTTTTTTTATATAAAAACAAATGAAATATTTATAATAAATTAAGATTTGTTATATTTCGTCGTTTAACAAAAATGAATGCAGTATTATTGGGTAATGGACGTTGTGGCCACGATGTTTGTGTTTTTAACCTACGTTCAATAAAGTTAATACGATATTGAACTTCTCTAAATTTCCTCATAAAATATGTTTGTAACCATTCTGAACCAATATCAGGTGTAAAAAAAAATACACAGACACGTTGAAATGCAGTAATAAAATAAATCATTTGATCTTCTAAATAAATTAATCGTTGTAAACATTCTTGACTACGTTTATAATGAATATAATTTTGACGAAGATGAATATCTGTTATAAATAAGCGTACAAATGACATTGTTTCTTCGTATTGACGAAGTAATGTATCGTATTGATACATTATTTCATACATTTCATGACCTAAATATCACAGAAAAAAAAATTCAATAAAGGCTTATTAGAAGATTCCTTTTTCTTTCTTGATGTTCGTTTTATTTAGAATTAATAATTGACTCAAGCGCGAGAGAAGAGAGAGCTTTATATGAGAGAAAATAAAGCATCAAGGAATGCGAGTTGAATAAACAAATATTGATAAGAACGAAATGAGTCCAGAAATAGACCATGTGACTGTAACAAGGCTCTATTAAAATTTATAACAAACAAATCTAATCTCATTGCTATAGAATTAAAATTTTATCTAAGCAATGATCTTTTACCTGGAAATGAACACGTTATATAAGTAACTTGCATTGATTTTTCCCACAATGGCATTCGGTCACATCCTAATAGTGATGTTGAAATAGTTATATTTTTCTCATAATCTATATAACCATAAACAATTGTTTGTAGTGCATATGCAAGTGATGGTATTGATGATGGTAGAAGTTCGCATAATGAAAGCATATGATCATATCGAGACCAACCAGTAATGACAATACCAGCAAAATTAACTTTATGTCGATTTGATGCAATATACATTGCTTCAAGCCATGTTTGTTGATTACGTTGATGATGAGCAATATAACTCATTGTTGTTGTTTCACCAGATGAACCTTTAAACGAACTAGCAACCCATACTTCACGAAACATTGAAAATCTATACAAAGAAAAAATTTATGATAAACAAACATTCAATAATTATTTCGTAGGTTTTTAATCAATTAATATTCTTACTTCACCCAGAATCCGTCATCAAACCAAAGCTTAACATCATCAACATAAGTCCATATCATAGGTACAATAAGTTCAATTAATTCCGTAATCTATGAAATAAAACGAACATATTGATTTGTATTAAATATATTTAGAATATATCAATACTAGTGGCAATAGGACTATAATACTGTATAGAAAGCTCAAGAAAATTTTCTATTTGTACACATAGAGCGTCCAAACAATGCTCCATAGTTCTATCATATCTCACTATCTTTCCCATTGATATAATAATATTAGAATTTCGTTCAAAGCTGTAGGCAAATTTTTCCTTTTACATTTAAGTGTATACTGCACTACATTTCTTTATCGGCGACCAGATTTCACCTTGAAAAATGCTTCAAAGATGATATGCATGGTTTCATGAAGTTCAAGAACATGTTGAAAATGATGCAAGATTCAGTAAATTTGTAACCAAACAACTTGTTGTCTTATTAACTTCTTTGAGGCATTATAGACGTACTGCCACAATTTTTCGTATGTCTTAAGTAAATTGACAACTTACGTTATTATAACCTGAATTAACCAATTGTGAGAGCATATCATGCCATATGAATAATTTAATATCCGGACGTTTTGATTTAATGTACTTAGCAACACGAGTTACATGTCTACAAAATTAGAAGAAATAAATCAAAAAAATTAAATAAAATTAACATTTTCAAATGTGAACAGAAATATTTATTAACTGGTGATATCATCAAATAATAAAAATTATCATTACAAATAGAATGTTTAATGTGCGTATAGTGACACATATTCTTTATTTTTTACATATTGAGTTCTCAAACCTTAAATATGCATTTGCAATTAGGAACTAGTATTAAACAAATTAGAACACGTTGTTTTCTTTATTAAAGCGATATTGGAATCAATAAATGAAATAATTATTTTCTTAATTCTACAATAGATAAACTGGTAATATTAGAAAATAACGTTTGTTCGAACAATGTCTGTTTGAATCTCATCATAGACGACATTATCATACTCATATACTTATTATTCTTCAATCATTCTTATGCTCATGACATTTAACAAATTCAGTTTTTACATCAATATCTAATAGAATAAAGATGATTGATGTTGAAAATAAAAAAATAATTTTCCATTAGTTTTTGTTATATTCAATGACATTTATATTTTCTTAATGAATATGCACATTTTTTTGGTCGATATTTATATTCGAAGGAAAAGTGTCAATATTAAGTACAACATTTAAAATATTATATAGTGAATAATAGAGATAAAGATCAATTCTTTTTATGTATGCTACACTTAGACATGTAGCAAACTCAAGTCGGCACCAAGGAACTCAAGTTATCCCAGTCTGACAATTAATGTGCTGAAATAGTCATAAAAAAGATTCAATTATGCCTCGTGACAGAAAACAATATATACAAAGCTTCATGTTGTGGATGAACTAAGATAGAGCTGAATTGAGTCCAAATAGCTCACGAGTGGTATATGCCTATTTATGCTGATGAAAAATATTTGGATAGATTTAAAATTATTTCATAGTTTAAATTTTTAATAAAACTAAAAAAAAACAAAATTATACCTGATAAAAAGATCTGCATCATCACGAAAATTCAGACTAGCACACTGAGGATGAACAAGACGATAATAAACTTCATCACAACCCATATGAAAATAAGGAATAAATGGATGAACAGATAATATTTGATCGATCATTTCTAGAAAAGAAAAGTTTCTAAGATTTAATGATTCATGAAAGTTATTTTCTTGATTGTAGGATGACACTTTCACTACATGATAGTGATTTCTATTAAGTCTTGTAAAATTGAGTTTTATATAATCAATCAATTTTGAAATACTAAAATTTATCATTTGAAATCTTGAAAACGAGACTGTGTGTATTGATAATTTTATAAAGATGTCCTGGTTTCACAACCGAAGCTAATTGACGTTTGGTAGATACTTTCACATTACAGTTTTCAAACTTTTATTTTATATGAAAATGTATATTATTTAGTTTCTTCGATAAACATCAACAAAAAAAAAGATCATCTCTGATTCAACACAAAATCAAATGAATTAAGACTCCCTTGATATCTTTCTGCTTCTAAAATTCGATCAAGATGCTAAACGTCATAATTACGAATACATACATGAATGTTTTTTTCATCACGAAAATAAATACATGTTAACCTTTTTTCCGATAATGCATTTTCCTCTCCATGTATTCATTTGCTTCATCGTGTTTTATCATTATTTCTAGATGAGTTTTCATTAAAAATGAATTCTTTTCGTATAACATTATTGCTTTTTATTTATGTGACGTGTTCTCACATACAATAAATTTCTAAAGTTTTTGCTTCTATACTTTTATATACATATGTAGTTTAATAAAGGAAAAATATTTTGACATGTCAACGTCTCATACACTGTTGGATTGTATATCGGGCACCCAGCTCGGTTCCTGGAAACTAACCGCAATAGAACGGCGATATAGAGAATAACCGACCTTTTTCAGTATCCAACTGCTGTCGGTTGATTACTAATATAGGACAGATTATACCGAACGATCTATTGGCGGTTTTTATCCTCTTTGAATCTCACGAGAACTAATAGAAATAAAGCATAAATTAATGTCATCGTATTGTGCTTAATCTCTCAATTTTTTATTATGAAATACTCTAGATTATTAGATCTTTTAGTTTGAAATATGTTTTAAGTTTTAATTAGATCAAAACATAATATTCATCTATTGATAAATATAAATCTACCAATGAGATGAACAATTTAATAGTATATATTATAGCAATCATTCTAAAGAATTTTTATATTAAAATAAATATTAATTTAACATACCAAATATTAGTCTATAACTTTCTTCAAGACATGGTGTAATAACTTGTGGGTATCGTATATCTTCACGTAGATGTATAAATTCTTTTAGTTTAAGTACATATTCAAGATGACCATAAACTTGAAGTAATGGCATAACTTTTAAACCATTCATTTCTGCTAATTGTAAGATTTTTTGAATATCATTATGTGAATAAGCAATACCATGTTTGATTACGGCTAAACGATTAGTAAATGGAAACATATCTTCATATTCAATAAGTAAACCAGTAGCACCAAGTTGTTTTAAAAATGGAAATAATTTTTCATAATAATCAATTTTTGGTGCAGCACCTTTTAAATCAAGATGAACTAAACGTTCAAGATTTTTTGTATTAATAACAGGATATGAAATCTGCTGAATAGGATTAAAATCTTGTAATTGTTTATGATTATTTAAAACATTTACAAGTGATATTGTATAAGGATTGGCTATTCTTGAATTTTGATTTTGCAATTGTTCATCGATATGAATAGTTGATGATCTAATTTGACTTGTCGAACGTTTTGATCGAACAGTATATATTTGATTGATATCTTGTGAGAAATGAGATATATGTCCATGATATTGATGTGATGAGTGTTCAGAAAATATATTATCACGATTCTTATGTATAATAAATAAGGTTAATAAAACGATAGGTAAGGAAAAAGTGATCACAAGATTACGACGTAAATTGCGACGAGCAAACATTAAATTGAAATATTGAAAAACAAAATTTGACAATTAAAAATACACTATTGTATTTGGCTAACTAAAATAAAAGAAAGAGTTAGAATAAATAAAGAATAACCTATGCTAATATAATAACAGATAAAAAGAACCATATTGATATAAAAAAAATCGATTTATAACAATTTTAACTCTGTTAAATCACACATAAAGTTTACTCTTGAAAAAAGAAGTCATACGAATCGATGATAACTATTTTATTTTAGAACTACATGAAATTCTGAAATAAATACTAAATGCACTTATTCATGTGACTTTTTGGTTTCAATACCAAACAGAACAAACAATTCAATGAATTAATACTCGTATAGGTCACTTTTACGTCATCAAGAATATCTCCCTCCAGAAACTAATGATATAATTTTATATATATATATAGATGAGTAGACTACTGTATTTTTTCTTGTGATCATCTTCTGTTTCTGTCTCACTCTATCATATAAGAATAGCATAGAAAAAACTGTGCTTAAAGTTCTCTTATTATAATAGTACGTAAGAGATATTTGTTTGACAGTCAGTAGAGAATTACGAAGTAATACTGTTTTTGTATCTCTTACGCTTCTTTTCTTTTTTTTTCTATTCTTTCGTATTAGACTGGATAATATGTAAAAGTTGTTGCATGGACGTTTGTCATAAGTCAAAAGTAAATAGATATACATATTATTTACAGCCTGCACCATTACTAATCGCTTCGTTTTCTTTTATTGCACGCATAGACGTTTCTATTGTGATGTAATCATTATCATCTCACTTGATATTTGTTTTTGTCAAATAACAATGAAATTGATTCTTCGATTAAGTAATGACCAATGACTTTCTATTGCAATACTTCTCTTTTTTTTTTTCTAAATATACTAAACCACATCTATATAAACTTATCATTCTTGCAGAAATGAAGTTTTTTTTTTTTTATTGTTTTATTAGTCCACTTCTTTTGATAGTTAGATATAAGTTCGACGAATTTGTCATGATAGCAATCAAAATATATTGAAAAGAAGAAAGAAAAACGGGATTATATTGCGATTGATAAAGTTTACAATTAGATGGAGTTTTCTTAATATAAAAATCATTCGAAATTGACCTACTTATTATTGTTATTTTATGTGCTAATAAAACAAGATTATATCGTACCGAAGAATAATAAGTTCTGATGTAAAAAAAGAAAAAAAAGAAACGTTGTGTGTTATATAAGTTCTTTTTTTCACCAGAAACATGAGAAAAAAAGAAGGATAGATAAGCAAGTGTCATCGATTTAACGAGCCTGTATGTAATCATAAATAACATTACAACAAAAGAAATGAAGATTATTATTCAAATTTTCTAACGATTATTTTTTTTCTTCTATCATACAAGTACGTTCTTTAGAGAATTTTACCAAAAAAAATTTATATTTTTTTGTTATAAGATGATTACTTTAAAATATATGTTTTTCTATTCAATGAAAAAGAATACTGACTTATATCTGTAATGATAAAAATTCTTCACCTTGACATATTGAATGATTTATAGTAAGAAAGAATCCAAATAGATAAAGTATGGCATTTAACAAAATAATCTCTAGAGATTTAGACTTGTATCATTATAATTTAACATATATATAAATAAAATAATAGATTGGTTAACAAGTAAAACAAAATAATTCTCACATAAAATAACATTTCTGTTCTTTTTCTTTAAATTTTTTCTAGTATATTAACAAACATAAATAAATTTGAGTTGAGAACAAAATAATTTTCATTGTATTCTGTCGACAAATCTTCTAAAAATCAAAATGAAATTATCAACACACAATCAATCAAATATTTACATATCAACAAAAAAAAAAAAAACAAAATGCTTCAACAAGAACTTCACATTTCTTCTCTCTCGATTGATAAAAAAAGAAAGAACGTTAAAGTAAATAGATATCTTCTTTCAATCATAACTTATTTGACGATGAGATGTGATGTATCGTATAGCACGTATAATCGATACGAAAAAATATCATATTAATATCTGTCGCTTTTTTAATATTAATATTTGATTATTTATTGATCTTCAAGTCAAGTCAAACACGAACATGAGTTATTTATGTTCACAATTACAAAACTGATGTATTGATCAGATATAAGATTGCAAAGTATTTGTTAAATCAATAACAGAGTATGAATTGTAATGTAGAGTGTCAAATGATAATGTTGGTTGATATAAAAAGAGAACTAAATCATTGCCTTGACATATGTTCATTTAAATATACAGAGTAACCAAAAAAAAAAAACAATGTATTTCCTTATGAAATATAATTTCTACAGTTATAAGAATTAGTTGTTGAATCGATTCGTTGTGTAAAAGATAGAGCCAAAAAATGATTACTAAGTAGAACCGTTTTCATTTTGAAAAGATTCAATCGTACGTGGAGATAGAAGAAATTCATTCCAAAACAAATCAATAATCGCTAGATTTCAATCTTTTGTAATAGTACAATAGTAAAACAATATATTATTACCTAAAATTTTATCGTTATGTTTCGAGAACTTCACAACTTAAATATACAAGGAATTTTCTATATCTTATGTACAAAGAATACACGGGTGTATGCAGCGAAAAGAGGATCAAGGATAGATCTGACCCTGGTTTTAGAAAATTTGTGTTTTCCTCAACAAAATTGACCGGTTTTCCTCGCTTTTTTTGCCTAGCAGTCTCTGTAACAAGGGTCGATCCCTTTTCCTAATCTTGTTGATTTCAGGACACACCTAACGGAATGTGCTTTATTAGTTTTGCTTGAATTTATTTTCATTACGATCAATCATATACTGTAGATAGAGCATTTCAATAGCTAGACAAATATGTCAAAACTATTGATAAATTTTAGTTTGATAATGAAACAAAAAGTACTATATAATTAATAAGGATAGAACAGAAATTAGCATCAAAATGGAAGAATTCTACCACAAAGAAAAAAATTTTTCAGAAAAAAAACTATTCTTTTTAGATTGAAGTTTTTTTCCCATTGTGAGTATATCAGTAGCTATATAGTTATATCAAGTTTCAATTGAAAAGTAACTGTTTGTGAAAGATTTTCTTGCTACTTAAATAATATTACATAAAGAGATAATTTTTTTTTCAACTACCCTGTATAGAAAAAAAAATGATATTTGTATTGTACTAAAGAGAGAAGGTCTCCGAGTGTGATGTCTTGATCAAGTCAATATTTTATCCATCAGTAGGTCACAGTGAGAGTAGACGAAGTCTAAAAGGGTTCGCCTTATACTCTGGATTTTTTGATTTACGATCATTTTCCTGTAGTTTCTGCTTCAGGCAAGGTATATATGAATAAATCCAATTTATGAAATTTGTTTATGAATAGATCCTATGATACTTAGAATGTCTTGAAAGTTTTAGCCCAAAAGCATGTTTCTTTTTTGAGATATAATGTGTTTAAGACATTCGATGTTCTGAACTTTTTATGCGATACATGTGATTTTTTGGATATCTAATATCTCAAAAAGAAACATTCTTTTGAGCTTATATTGTCAGGACATGTTAATGATCATAAGGTCTATCTGTGGGCAAAATTTTCATAATTGGATTTTTTTATATATGCTTCGCTTGAGACAGAAAATACAGAACAGCAGTCATAATTCGACAAGGACAACATATGGGGCAAACTCTTTTAGACTTCTTCTACTCTCACTGAGATTTATCGATAAGTAAAATATCGAATTAATTGGTATGACACACTCAAAGATGTTTTCTCATAAGTGAACTAATATTAATTGTTATTTGTTAAACCAAAATTTAGGTATAAAGCTATGGTTGGATGTTTTACGATGAATACGTAAACATAATCAAAAACTAATTAAATGTAAATTTTCAATGAATAACACTACACTAAAAATATATTCATTCAAGAATATAATTCTAGTTCATCATAAAAAATGATTCAACTCGATTATTCTATCATAGTTTGTTTACTCATTTATATTAATGCTTTATATATGATAATACAGATCAGCATGTCTATTCAAGTTAAATAATCATAGATCAATTGTATTGTCTTTTGTTACTACATCAAATAGACAATCTAAATAACATTTATTTTGTTTGAATTGTGATTGTTTTGATCTACCAGAATATAAAACATTAATACAATGTTCTACTTCAATACACATTTGTATCTAATGTGAACAGCTTCGGCAATATTCTTTTCATTTTGTTTGCAAAAAATAATATGAAAAACGTTACGTCTATGGTTTGTATATGCGTCATCATTGCATTTTTTTTCATTACACTTGCTATAGATAAATTGATATAATTGTTAATTGTTCACTTCAATTGTTTCACAAAGCGACATAATTATGAAAAAAAAGTTTTCAAATTTTTAATAAACAAATATTTGTAGTGCTATATCCAGATTTGCTCTTTCGTAGCGAAAAAAAACAACTATTTTTGGAAGTACAGACACATAGTACATGGTTCAATAACCACAAATTCCAGGAAGAGTCGACTCGATTTTTGGAAGAGCATCATACTAGATATTCGATTGATTAATAATATGTCAAGTGCAATACTTCGAATATTTAATAAAATTGTTTTCGATACAGTATTACACATTTCAAATGCATTATATTCACACATAAAAGGTCTGTAGTGTTTATTGTTTAATTTTCTGATAGACTTTATAAGAAATAATGATTATCCTGTTTAACTCTTTTCTTTGTTTAAAAATCAAATAAATCAGCACAATCACAAAATTTATTGTTATCAAGATGTTGCAACAATTTGTTGGTCTTTTTTTGTTGTTGGCACTTGTTCATTTTCTGCAGAAGATGATTTCAATAACGTTCGTATCTGATTAATTAGATTGAATTCATCCTAGAAGAAAACAAAAATTAAAAGAAATTTTACTAATATTTCTTAATTAAGAAACTAACCACATGATCTTCAGAATTTTGAATATCTTGATATCGTTCATTAAGTTTTTGTTGAAATTCTTCAATTAATGATGAATTACTTTCAACAAGTGTAGACATTGCATTTGGTTTTATACTTGATATTGTTAAAATAGTTTGAAGTGTATGATGATGATCAGGACATGCTTCATTATTAAATAAACGTATTAATTCTACTAATGCACCATTTTCATAAAATAATTCTATAAGATAAGACAAGACACATTATAACATGTTTACAAAAATATCAAAAAACAAATATTACTTTTCATGTGTGCACTTGCTGAACAAATAGTATTAATAAGAAAGCATAATTTATTTTGTAAACGTGGAATAGGTGATGATATAGCTTGAATTAATATTTTTGGACCTTGATACTTTTGTAATTGAAGTTGACCAAGTGTATAACCTCGAATTAGAGCTAAAAAAAAAAAGAGGAAAGAATTTGTATCTTTTACTAGTGTTTCATTAATACGAAAGAATAATAGAGAAAACTTAAATTTTTGAAAGTTAACATACCTGATATAGCTGTAACAGCTTTTGTTTTTAAATCTGGATTATTTGATTCGCTAACAATCTGTAATAATTTTTGTTGTAAACCAGATTGAACAATAATTCTTTGACAATGTTCATTATTTTGAACAAGAGTAGCAAGTAATGAACATGTTTGAATACGAATATTATCATCCTTATGTTCTAATAATGGTGATAAAATTTCAAGACCACCAAGAGTAAAAAAATCTTTTGCTAAATCAAGTTCTTCTGACCAATGACAAAGTTCATCGAGAAATTCTTTTTTTTGTTCTTCACTTGTTTGATTATCTTTTATTTTACTTAGACATAATTTAATTCGTTCTATTGGATTAACTGTTAAATTTTCTAAAGCGTCATTAAGCCATTGTTTTTTCTAGAAAATAAATCAATAGAATTATTTTATTTAAATATTTTTCATTAAATAAATACTTACATCGTCATTCATAGGTTCAACATCACTAGTTGTTGTAGCTGTTGTTGCTTCTGCAGTAGTATTCTTAACTGTCCATTGAAAAAGAGCATTAAGAAAGCTTTGTTGTGAATTATCAGCCATTAGTTAAATTATATATTTGATAATAATCAAAAAAAAAAAAGAAAGATTTGTTATTTTTATATTCAATTGATAAAATGGTCCAGAAAAATCTTGAATATTCTCGAAAAATCAAGAAGAATAAATACAGAAAATGTGTCATTTTCTTTCAATCTTACTGTAGAATTCTACAATTTCAGTAGGCAAAGGGATAAAAATGATGAAATAGTCGTTCAACCAATTCAACTACTTCATCAAACCTCCTTGTATCAACAGATATCGTAAGTGTACGGTTCAAACCAAGACATCTATTTGTAGATGCCAAAGTTTACTTGTTATCAATGGCATAGCCAGGAGTTTTTTAGTCATCAACCATTTTTCAACTTAATTATTTTGAAGCAGTGGCGGCGCGACCGGAGGGGTTGGGAGAGGGTACCCCCCTCCTGCTTTTGGAGAATATGAGTGATATTTTCTTCCATTTTGGACTTTGCTTTCTCCCATTTTTGAGAAGTACTTTCTCTCATTTTGGGCTATAGTTTCTGCGACTTTCGGCTCGAAAACTAGCTGCTGAGGTACAAAAGTCTCCTAAAAATCCAACTGAAGACCTTTTTTTTTTGCTCTTCAGTTTTGAGTTTTTGGAAAATTTGGGTAACCTGTACAGAAAATTTTCCGAAAAACATGGACACTGGAGATAAGAAAAATTTTTTCTTGACTTTTCTCCCGTTCTCCCCTTACCCCCCCCCCCCCCCTGCTTGGACCTCTTCGCGTCGCCACTGTTTTGAAGCGTGGACAGCAATGGGTAATTAAAAATCAACTGAGCTATAGTATTTTTAAAACTTATTAATATAGACCATTGTTTTTAAATTTTTAGGACGTTGTTCAATGGTCATACCATTAGCTATGCAACTGAAACTATATAGCAGTGTCTATGATAGAGGTTCATTTCCAGAAAAAAACGATAGCTGCGACTTTTAAAAGTATCTAGTATACGAAGATATCCATTGTGGAAGGTTTTACTGTTTTTTTTTCTTTGTATATATATTCATTATATCTTTTCTTTATGTTTTCATTGAATTTATTGTATCAGTAGATTATTTATCTTTTCCATGCAACAAGTTTCATATGAATCTAGTCAACTAATTCAAGAATAAATTCTCAGCATCTTTTGAAGCATGAAAAAAATAACAAGACTTAACGGTGAGAATTTTCCAAGCTATCGTCTAGAAAACAGAGACACTTCAATCGACAAGTGAACATATGTTAGATAATAATTTCGAAACAGTTCGATTGTTCATTCAAAAATATGTGTTATTAGTAGTACATCACAAAAAGAAATAATTTAGAGTTTTGTTTTAAGTTTTATTCATCTAATAATAATAAATAATAAGAAAAAAAGATCTTAACAAAAACTATACAATAATATGCAAAAATATAGCAATGTCTCTGACGGAAGCATTTCTGACTTTATTTCTTCTGATTTTCAATTGATTTTGTAGCTTCCTTTTGTTCAACATAAGATGCTTCAATTTTCAATTGTCCATCATCAGTTAATCGTGATTGTAATTGATCTATTTGTGTACCAGGTGGCAATGTTGTTGATTTACAGAAAAAGGATCGTTCTGAACGATTCTTATCTTTATGTTGATATTCACCTTGAACAATTATTCATTGGATTTGATTGATACTTTTATTTCATCTGGTCGATAATTCTTCATTCCAATTGACATTTCAAGTTGTTTTTGATTATTACCTTTATCAACAATACGTGATTGAAAATCTGAACCAACCAAAAATCCAACATAATCAAATAAAGGATCACGATATTGACCAAATTGTGTCAAACTTTGATTATCATTTTTTACTTGTGCAACACGACGTTCTGTTTCTGGATTATAAATAGGTACTTTAATGACAAGCATATTATTTGGAGTTACATATGAAGCTAAACGTTTCGTATCTAAATGAAAAAAATAAAACATTTGTCAACACAAGTGTTTGAAATAAAAATTAATTTTTTTTTACTTACCAACATGTTCAGGTAGTTCATAAGTTTTGCGTAGTTCTCGAATAGTATAATCACCATTAGGTTGACGATCTTCTTGTTTGGCTTCGACAATTACTTTTCTACCTTCAACTTTTGTTGTAATTGTTTCTGGATTGAAACCTGCTATATTGAGTTGAACACGATATTTTTCAACACTAAGTAATCGTAATGTTGGTGTAAGATTTTTACCATCATCTGATTTATTACTTGATGAATGTGTTAATCGACATAGTTCATTGATCTATCGAAATGCATTTGGTCGAATAGGAAGAGCCGATGGAAATGTATCAAAATCATACCATGGATCGAAGAAATCCAATTGATCACCAAAGAATCGATCAAATAGATCGTCGAAAAGACAATAACGATGAATTGGAAAAAATGCCATTGCTTTGTAGAAGAAGTATTGAGAGAGAGAGTTTAATAATCGCAGCTGAACGTTAAAATACCTGATTAGACCGTTGCACTCACACACATTTATGTATAGGTCGAATTATTAAATACAGGTACATTGTAGAATATTCGCGAATGTTCCTGTTCGATCATTGTCACCCAGCTTTTTCTTTCCTTATCTGACGTTGTTGTTTTTTCTGTTCTTTCTTTCATTAGTTTCTCACATATGTTTTTTTTTCTTTTCTACTAACAAAAGAATATGATGTTAATGGACACGTATAAAAGAGAAATATGTCTATTATTACACTTTGAAGCTTTTATAACAGCTCTTTATTTTTATCGAGAAACAGTATGTTATCAAAACTTAAATATTAATAGCAATGGTTTATATGCAAGATTCAATATTTAGAGTAGTTTTTCTAGTGGAGGAGCTTGATATGATCTTAAGGTATAATTTTAAAGCAATTCATATCGACATAATAAAATAATAATGATAATTATAAAATGAATATTTTGAAAATCGTGTCAGCTAGGTTTTTGCAGTTTTCGTTAGTCAATCGAAGAACATTTTCATATATTATTATATAAAATGAAGATCATTTCACAATTAATCATCGGTTCATGTCAATCTTCTTCTAAATAAAAGCTTCTAGTGGTGTAACCAGGAGTTTTCAAATCGTGAGTCGTTTTTCAGCTAAATTATTTTGATGACTGGGCAGGTAGATTTATCAACATAAACTTAAACTCCCTATTTTTAACTGATATAGGCTGGCTTCGGACACAATAATCTCTATTTGGTTTAGACGTAGCTTCATATTTGGAACCAACACAGAAAAAACAAACTCGACTTTTGTATGTTTCAAGCTCTTTCTGTCGTCTTTTATTTCTCTCAAATCTTTACTCATGATTCTCTCAGGAATATATAAAAAATGAATTGAATTAAAGCGCTAATTTTATTATATAGTCATCTATCTTCTTATCTTCGAACAGCAACTGACAAGCAAAAAGTTAATCTTCCATTTTTTATATGGCTTTTTGATTCTATTCATTTTTGTACGTACTTTTCTAAAGGGGATTACGAGTAAATATTTGAGTAAAAGAAAAACATAGCAAAAAATCCTTGAAATATAGATAAGTCGATTGAGGTTTTTGTACTAGTTGCAACTATAACAAGAATATAGGACCACACTTGAAGAAATCAATGATGTTTACTTGGCGATGTAACATGAACAAAGTTCTATTCATAATAGCTTTCAATTATTTTTCATCTTTATTTTCAAAGTGTTACTCATATAGTTAGAAAATGTTATAGACTAACTGACAATGTATGATGCTGCTCATGACAGATCTTGATTGCACCTAAATTCCTATGAAAATACTTTCAGTTAATCAAAAAGTTATAATCTATGGTTTTGTATATGGCTAAATGAAGCTTAGTACAGAAAATCAAAAGAAATCAAAGTATTTTCATCTACATGTTCCATCTTTTGTCTATAAAGATTTGTCCTTTTCTCTAATTTTTATTTTCATCCATATGTACCTGTACAACTCAAACGCAAGCTAGAACAATAATCAGAACTATTTAAGAAAGAAATAGAAGAACTTATGCTAGCGCACGAAAAAATACAAAATCGAAGCTAAAAGAAAGTTTATGTTAACAGTAACACAGACGAAGCAAAGAACATCAACAAAGTGAAAACAATGAATGTGCCATAAAATCACCCATCTACATAGAATATTTATAGATATTCATAAATGTATTGGTACGCTTCACATATAATTAAAAAAGAAACGAAACACGCATCACTAATCACATGACTTAATATTCTATGACTTATGAATACAAAAACAGAAAAAAGAAGAAACACAAAACAAATAATAGAGTTGATCGAATTAAATCGTTTAAACTGAATAATTATGAAGTGTTGGTGTTGTATTTGAAAGAATTGATGGTGATGATCGAACATTTGGTGATAATGGTCTTGAATTGAATGACAGTGGTGGTGGTGGTGGTGATGGTGCTCGATTTTCTTTTTGTAATTCATTCAAATGAGATCTACCGCTAATCATTGTTGAATTAAATTCTAATGAAGATGATATTGGTGATGATTGAACTGATTGTTGACCAAAATTATAAGTCGACATCGTTGTTGTCGATGCTCGTGATGGTACTGATCGATCATCATCTTCAGCCATTTCACATAAATTAACATTGGCTAATGTTGAACATAATTTTTGAAGATCTAATTCAAATACAAAAATGAACATACAAATATGTAAAAAAAAAACCGAAATGAACCAATATCTCTCAGCTGTATGAATAAATATCTGATGATTAGATATAGAATCAGACACTATAAAAATAAGGAAAAAAGTTTAATCATAGTTATTTGCGTATTAATAAAATAGGGTCTGACCCACTCTCAGCATCGTCATCGTTGAGACGCATAACAATTGATAGAAATTAAAATTCTGTCTACTGAGTTCTATTAGACACCATTCTGGAAAAAACATCAAGAAGAGGAACAAGAAAAAATAATCTAGAGTAGGTCACTCTGACACACACCTAAGTTCCTTTGATCTGACTTCATCCATTTTGAGACACTGATCGAGTCTGAGCTACAATTTCAACAAAATAAATATTTCAAGTATGAAGTCAAATGTAGCCCTGCTGTATATTTTGAACTACACACAGCCATCAAACATTTACCACAACGTCATCTAATGTCATTTTTCCGAACATTAATTTGCCTGAGCTTTTAGACTCAGAGTGAGACTCACTAGACTAAGAACCTCATGGTCTATCAACTGAAATAAGTCATAAGTAAAATCGTAGTCAGAATGACTCGTAGCGTATTTTACTAATACGTGAAAAAAGTTAATCGTCAAGAAACACTAACGAGTAACTAGCGAGAAATGTTTAAACTCGAAATGAATAATACTAATAGAAATGGTATATAACAATTGATTTCAAATCTAATCAATGAAATTTTGCTGATAATATATACAGAATGAACGATTTGTTTTTTTTTTGTCCTCAATATTGATATTTACCAATAAGTAAAGGAACAAGTTTTTGAAATATTCGTCGACCATTTGTTAGACCAAATTGATCATGTAAAAATCGAAATGTTATATCCATATAGGTTTGTTGAATTTTTTTTAATTTCGATTGATTATCTTCAATTGTATTAACATGAAAACCATTTGAAAACAAAAGAATTACCATAAGCAATAAGAATAATGTATGTGAATTTTCTTCTGAGTGTTTATCAACTATAGATTCATATGCAACAGAAGTTAAGCCTTTAGCTAATGCAACAAAATTAGTATAAATTTTTGTTCCATAAACATACAATAAATATTTTGCATCATAAGGATCATCAGCTATATTTAAAAACAAAATTATTTAATTTTTCAAAATAAAATTTCTATTATTACCTGTTGTACGATCAACACATGTGTCATTATCAGCATTATATGTTAGTGCTCCATGAAACATAAAAACTGTTAACATATTTTGTGTAAGAATATTTTTTTTTTCTTGTTGTGTTAATAATTGAAATTCAGGTATTAAATTAAAATAATTTAATAAACGTAATGTTGTCATTTGTGTTAATTCTCGTGTTAAATCTTTAATTAATGATAATTTTGTTTCGAAATTTTCTGTTTGATATATTATTTTATTACGATGAACAAATTTATTTGGTTGAGGATATTGCTTAGTTATTAATTGATATCCATTAGATAATTGATCGAGTAAATATTGTTGTCGTTCATACAATTGTTGATCAGGTGAAGGTTTCATATACATTATAGGTGATGAACTTGTAAGAGATTGCTCGACTATAGATAACGATTTCTGAAAGATGCAAAAATTGAAAAAAATAACAAGAGAATTTTTTCAATGATCTTTTGAATGTATATCATATGTTTAGTAATCTATAATCAAAGCGTTTTCAATATAGAATGAACTAATTTATGATTTGAAAAATTTCTATTCGCAGTTTTTAACTCTGTTTTTTTTTTTTGTTTTACTGAGTTACACTGACTGATTATTCGGATATTTGCCGGATTGACATATAATTCTATGCATATAATCTATTTTCAGAGTAGTTTTTAAAAATATCTTGATTACAAATTTGAAACCATAATTTTTCATAAGAACTTGGATCATGTTGACCTATTCGTAAAAAGTAACATGAAGAATTATTTGTCTAAAATTATTTCATTAACCATATAAACTGATGAACAATATGATGCTCATACCAATAGCTTTATTACAGCTAATAACTAGTCAAACAACAGTGTACGGGCGTTTTTAAATATTTTCTTATCGATAAAAAATAAGAAACCTGTAGTTTATATTAATGTCACCAATCTGGGTGAGATATTGACAATAGGAATGGAGGATTTCGAACCCGAATCAAAACAAATGATCCCACATTATAAAAACATAAAAAAAAAAAAGATTAATGATAAAGAAACTATCCAGAAACGAAAAAATTTATTTCAAATCGGAAGTGTCTGTCATTATCAGTGTCTATCTATATATCATCCCCATAAATGACTCATTTAACATTCTATGAAGTGTGAGGGTTGGAAGGGTAATGCCACTCCGAAGATCATGTTTTCTTTTTTGAAGTTTTGAATAGTCCTTTGCAATGTGAATACTTGAGCTCCGAAAAAAAACAGAATTTCTGATAGGTAGGTCACCAGTTTTCTACGATTAAGATAACAGAAAAATTGCAAAAAAAATGCTAACATATCAAGTTAATAAAAAAAAATGCAATTCTTATGTCATTCAAGAGGCATAGTTCGTTTATGACTCATTCTGTATTTCTATAGAAAAATGACTTTACCCTAATATTTAATCATATCAATGTGATGATCAGCACCTGCACAAGCTATGCTCATGATTGACTCAATACAAAGTCTAATGGAAAATGGTAAGGAGAAAAAGAATTCAATAACTTTCATTTAATATTATTGTTTTTTTTTTGTTCTATATTCAAATCAAAAAGAATATTACTATCGTTTCTTCAATAAAGTTATTTACATAATATAAGTAGAATTTTCGAATATTGAAACTTAGAAATTCTTTTTCTCTGATTAACATCTTTTTATAGAATTCTAATAAAAAAAAAATTGAAATTACGAAATATTTTCTTTAGAAACTAACTTCAGATGTTTTTATATCTGTTTGAATATTTGAATTGCTTAAGCCATTTGTTTGTTGTTGAAGACTCATTTGTGCTTGTTTCATCATACGATTACGTACAATTTTTTGACGTTTCAATGTTTTTTCTTCATCTGTTAATATCCATTCTTTTCGCATACCTAATAAAATTATGAAAATAAGATTTTTCTTTAATTAATTAATTTTTTTTTTTTATTGATAAATACTTACCAACTTTAAAACATTTAGCTAAACGACATCGTTTACAACGCTTACGTGTTACTGATGTTACAACACAATTATCATTATTACGACAACGAAATTTATCCTAAATTATATTTAATATAGATACGTCTTTTTCTTTCTTTCTCGTTCAAATGTTTATCAAAAGATATTTACCATTGATTTTAATGCATTTCGACGGAAGAATGCTTTACATGATTCACAAGTGACTAGATTTAAATAATTAAATTAAAATCTATTCAATTCTTTCTTTTTTTTTTTTGTTGCTATTACTTTGGTCAAAATTATAACCATTTGCTTTTGCTCCACATACATAACATGGTGATATATCTTTTTGACGTTTTGTTCCTGTATTTGTGCCTGTACCAGTACTACTCGTACTACCAGCACTTGAATGTACTATATGCGTTCGAGATTGTTGCTTATAATCAACTTCCCGTATATCATCATCGATACTTGTTGAACCATCATCCACAATTTCAATCATTGATACTACTCTATCACTATTACTGTTCATTGTTTATATTAATGTCTTATTTTCATTACTGTTTATCTAAAAAACAAATATAATAGAAAAAAAAAAACCAGTATGATTTACTAGCAATAAAGATTGCTCCCATGACCCTTTTTATGTGGCTATTGAAATATATAGACACGCCATCGCTACTGAAGAACGAGAAGAAAAGCAAATATATTATTTTTACACAAGGCAAAAAAAATATCATAAAGGCAATAATAATCTACATTGCAAAATAAAAATGCACGCATATTCATATCAGAGGAATGATAGACAGTAAGCAAATAGAAAGAAAAATCCAGTTTGAAATAGGAAAGAATTTTCTATTGCAGTCTATCAATGTCTTGAGCTTCAATGATTGAAAAAATTTTTCAAATAAGAAGTAACTATATCATTATATGTATATCCAATTCACTTTTTTATTTTTAATTAAAATCATTGACAAAGACCCTATATCAAGCTTTTCTTTTATTGCGAATAATTTAAAGACTGATTTTATCAACAAGAATGTGATTTTTATAGAGTACGAGAAAAAAAGAATATAAATTTAACAAAGTCTACTCGCATGTTTAAGCTAGTGTAACATCCAACAAAAAAATCCGGACGTGATCAGGTATGAGAGGCTAAATGTGCGCTTATTTGAATGAGTACAGGATGAAAAAAAAACTGATTATAGGCATATTTTTTATTTCATAAAGAAAATTCATCTGTAAATTTATTGAATAAATATTTAAACAATTGAAATTTTAAAAATATTATTCTTACCTTTATCTATGCTATTTTCTGGTTATTTTTGATGTACAGCATGTTGAATAAAGCTTTCTATCTATTACTAGAAGACTGTAAAAATTATAGTCTACTTATATCGTACGACCATTTTCGAAACAAACATTAGACAGTCTACTACTCTTTTTCTTTCTTTATATTCTCTACATAAACATATAGAATCGACGGCGACATAGAAAGAAAAAATGCACTTACACATAGATATAGATAAAGCAGCCGCGTATAAACCATTATTTATAGCGCCCAGTCGACATTTTTTTCTCTCTTTTTTTCTTCCTCTCATGATTCTTTTCACCCAATTCTATAATTTTTTTTTTCTTGTTCTTAATGCACTTGTCGGAGTATCGTTTTTCTCTTACTGCTCCTTATTGTAAATTTTATGACTAGGAGAAACGCAGATGCTAATGATAAAAATAGACGACAAAAAATAGGAAGAAAAGAAAAAAAAAAGTAAATTTTAATATTATATGATTATTCTTTGTTCAGTTACGATGAACTTTCTGTTTTGAATACTTCCCAATATATTGTTGTTTTCAGCGACCTTTCTTTTCTTCATACATTGTTTTTATTTTATCTTTTTTGTGTATGACTTATAGAATTTTATCCTATATCAATTCTGAAATAGAATGCAAATTAAAACAACGGAAATTATAACAAGTCATTAAAAAAATTTATACATGGATTTCTTCATTAAAACTGACAAACAATTATTAACGATTGGTTGTATTTGTCCAATCGTCGAGATAAAAAATACACAATCATGCTAAACGAAAAAAAAACAACCTTGAAGGAAATAATAGATAAAAAAGAGAGAGAATACTACATAACAGAATAGACGTGATTGTAAAGTTTGACTAATCAATGTTTTCTTTTATTTTGCTTCGTTTCCAATTACTTTAATAAGAAGCAAATAGTTACTGTGAAATGTTATCATCAATCATCGAAAAAAAAAACTTTAGGATTAAAAAATAATAAAAAGAAAAACTAGTTCTGAATTAAATTTTTATGTTTGATAAGCATTCTTTATATGTATGTCATCTGATACTTTTCTAAACAACGAAAAAAACAGATCCTAACAAAAAATACGATGTCTTTAACATCGAACGAAAACACCTGAATGTCCTTACTCAGACACTTATTTTTTTTTTACTAGTCAAATTATAGAGTGTAGTAGAAGTACAATATGATTGCATGTATGATTTTCCGTTTCGATCAATAAGAAAGAAAAATGTTTTTACCCTGAATAGATTGTTGAACTGATGCTGAGTTTAATTATGATATAGCCTTAATTTTTAAAAATTATGATTCTCATATAATTCAGCATAACATACAAAATTTTATTATTTAAAAAAAAAAAAAAAAGATGAAATTTATTTATTTTATCCTAAAAAACAAAACTTACTTATTTTCCATGTATTACTCATCCGACATACTTTCTTTCATAAATACATAAAATAATCGCTTTTTTTTTTTGCTTTTCTTCGTTGTATTCGGTAAATGTGATACGCGCGTATGCTTACATACAAGTACTTTTTCCTATCCTAATAGATGACACGTGTTTCAAGGTCGACTTCATCCTTGATAAGCTGAGATGTTTTTTTGACCTTTTCGTTAGACAAATATATGTTGTTTAGCGTTCTGCCATAAGTTATTGACTTACGAGGGAACCTTTTCAGATGTTCCCGTCGGATTTAAATCAATTTTTGTCTATAGATACTACATAGTGTCCTAATAAAACTCTAAAAGGATTTGAGTTCCTATCGCTTCCTTCAATAGTTATGCATTTTTTTATTTTACTCGTATAAGACATAACATATAATGTTTAATAGAGGGTTCGGCAGACCACCAACTAGACCAGATCTTACTAAACATTTTTTTCTATTCATTTAGCGGAAATGAAAGATCATATTGAGAAAATTCTAAATTCAAAATATCAAGTTATTCTAAAGTACTTGGAAAAATACCAAGGAGCATAATCTTCGTTTTTCTTGTGGTTAGATAGTAAAAATTGAATAAAAAGTTATTTTTACATATTCAGAATAACTTGATATTTTGAATTTAGAATTTTCTCAATATGATCTTTCATTTCCGCTAAATGAATAGAAAAAAATATTTAGTGAGACTTGGCCTAGTTGATGGTCTTGCGAACCCTCTATTAAACATTATATGTTATGTCTTATACGGGTAAAATAAAAATATGCATAACTTTTGAAGGAACCGATAGGAACTCAAATCCTTTTAGAGTTTTTATTAGGACACTATGTAGTATCTATAGACAAAAATTCATTGAAATCCGAGGGAAGCATCTGAAAAGGTTCCCTCGTTAGTAGAAAATGTTAAAATAATGTTATATAATGTAGATTTTGTTCTTTATGTTGAAAATTTGATTTTACTTATTATAATGATTAGTTGCAATTTAATTTTTTTTATTGAACATATGATGATATTAAGTTAAATTTAGTATAATATGCCTTATTTGATTCTCTACGAATATAAGTAAAGAATTTTACTATAAGAATTACTAGTCAAACATTCTATCAGGAAGACTAAACTGTTTTCAAGGCTGATGTTTTCTGTAATAGCAATATGTTTCAACAGCTACGTAATTTTCTTTTCTCTATGAATAGATGTGCTCCTGGCAACGCTCTTCACAGTGTTTCAGTGTTATTAATAATATGCATTTTTTTGTCATCATTAGTTAAGATTGTTTGAAAACCATAGCAATGTGTATCTGTCGAAATTTATTACAGAACGAAGTGCAATGTCAAAAATTTGTATTCGAATTTCACACTTGTTCTCATGAATTTCAAACTTCACAGACAATTGTTCCGTACAATTGACAAGAAGGGCATTTGTCTTCAAAATAACGACAATAATTAAACGCATAAAATTAATATAGAATCTAGAATTTGAAAGTTTTACAAAATGATGTTTATTTTTGGTCAAAGTCTTCGAAATATTCGCAAAAGACAAAAAGTCTGATTGCATACTAATCGAAATTTACAAATGAAATTTGATTTATTACTCAGAGAGAGATTTTCAAGAGCTAGTCAATTGATAATTAGATTTGTTTGTATCTTGCATATTCCACAGTTAAGATGATAAAAAAAATGACGAAATAATCTTTCGAAGTAGATTATGTGTGTTCGATCGTATGCAGCTTAGAATGTTTGACTAGTAGTTTCTATACTGAAACCTTTTATTCACATTTGTAGAAAATTAGATTTTTATTCTGGGACATCCATTATATGCGCAATATCTGTGATTCAAAAAAAAGAGAAAATCAAAAGTAAATATAATCAAAAAAAGCAAAGCGTCATATTTCATAACATGCATATTTGACCGAGGGTTAATGTTTGTCTAGAATGACTTACTACCTACGCAAAGCTCATATTTTGTATTCTGTTTACAGTTACATATGAAAGAACTGTCGCCCTTGGAACTCTTAATTGAAAATTGTCATGACAGGAAACAGACTCGTTATTTTTTTGTAATCTCATCTTATCTCATCTCATCTCTGCTTGATTGAAAGTCGTCAAAACCTAGACGACAATTTCAAAGATACTCGAATATAACACAAAAAATTGAGGAAATTAAAGAATGAAACTTAATAACAGTCGGATTATTTAAATTGATTAATTGGTTATATAGAAGACTGCTGAACAATTGTACACTGATGTTAATAATATCGAAATTTTAATGTTTGCATAAATTCGAATAGACAATTATCTTATTGAATCATTGTTCTACAAATGATTCAAATAAATTATCTTTATAATACTTATACTATTTTCAAGCGTTTTTCAAATATCAACAATCAGTCGTAAAATTTGTGCATGTTATTTGTAGTACTTTTGCATATACATTAAGAATATTCATTGTACTACATGATTATGAAAATAAAGAAACCATTGAGCTACTTACATTTCCAGACATACTAATAGCTCAATACTTAAAATTTCATCATATACCATATTGATATCAGAATAGCTCTTAGATAATCTGAATATTTATAATTTCATAAAGGGTACTTCCCGTTCCCACAGAGTACGCATCTACACGGACATTTGCTTAAAAACGAAAATTGCACTTTTTTCAAGATTCAAATATAACAATATATATTTCAAAATATAGTCCATCTAATTATGTAAATCACTTAGTTACAAATCTGAAACAAACTAAAATACTAGTTATCCAGAAATTAATCTGAGAACCATGATGTCACCGGGCAAATTGATATCTGACAAAATTAAACTATTCGACAGACAAATCAAGTACATTTTCTCAATCTTCAAGTCGAACTCTACATAATGATAAAAGTATTTTTTAATTTGCACGTTTAATTTCTGAGGAAAAAAGATAAATGTTTTTTCCTCTAGTGTCATCTGTCCGACTAGTCACGTAAAATGAGTAATTCACCCAGTTTCAACCTTCAAACTTTTCTAAATTTTGCCATAATGTTCTTCTATCTTCTGTATCTAATTTTTGTTAGTGTAAGTACTCCTAGAGTGTACTATGAGTTTTCAAATCACCTAGGTTTCTCCAGTGTTTTTCAATTTTTCTGTCTTTTAAAATATACTTAATCGACAAAAATTGTATATTTAAAATCAGCGTATCAAACTGCGTCGAATGATATATAGCACGAACAATTTTGAAGAAAAATTGAAGGCAAACGTCCTCCCTCTCACGCATTCTTCTGAGTCATATGCAATCATTTCTGAATAAAGAAATTCGTTATCGAGCAGGAAACTCAAATGTTCGCCTGAGATACGAAAGATACACACTATGCCTTGTCTTCCTTTTCAAAATTTCAAAAAAGCGGTTCACCCTAGAACATTGATGGATCTTGACGAGTAGCGCAAATATTGTCCTGGACTCAAAGTTTCCGTATGCTGCTATCTATGAGATATGGTAGGGATATTTCTGTACGTTATTCATGAAAAGTTTGATTTAAGAAAAACGCAATTTACTATTTCCGTTACATAAATTTGACTTTTTAATGCTTAACGATAATTTTTGGATACTTAGTAGATAGATACTACTTTAGACTATACAATGGCCACAAAAAATTAAAAACCAAGTCATAAAAGGGGATGAGTACCATTAAATCACAATAAATGTATCACATAAATGTATTATTGAAGATCATATTGTTAATATCTCGAATCCATGCTCCTGTGACTATATAAATTGAGATAGAACTGAAGTAAAACCGAATTATGGCTTTTAAGAAAAATCAGTCTTTATGATGACAAACTTGAGATTGCATAAAGAAAGGAACTAGATATATTATAGAAAATTCATCCAATCCTATGTCAATATTTCTTTAGTAGACGCATCACTTTCTTATTTAATAATTTGTATAGATAAAATAGTGAACTCATTCTCTTCGTTGAGAAGAAGTTTTCATATGAAAAATTAATGCATAAAGAATATTTCCAAAAGAAATAGAACTAATGTGACTAATAAAATTCGTAATAATGAGTCGATAGGGTCACACCAATAAATTATTATTATTCATTAATTTGTAAAATTCTTTGTAATTCGAGACCTATATCGTTATTCATGTTTTTTTTTAAAGAAACACATTTCTCTTGCTACGTACTTTTTTGATTATTGTTTAATTTATAACAGACATATTATTGTAATAGATACATACCAATATGAACCTCTGCAAATGAATAGTGACAGTTCGTATTTTAAATATATGACCACACTGAAAAAAGCAAGCACTTATAATAAAAGCCCTTGAAAATTTCTATCATCCTATTTATAACTGATTTAATTTGAAATTATGTACTAGAAAATAAATCGATCATAATGAAGACACTCATGCATCTCCAGTTTTTCATAAGGTAAATTTTGTCACTATCGCCTAAATTAGTTTTTTAATGTCTCGTCTCAATCGAAATATCTTTTTAGAAGAATAGGAATATATGTTGATGGAGAATTTCAAGTTCTATCAGAATATATAAGTGCTCTTCTAAAACGGTATTTCAATAGTGATGAAAAATTTTATTCAGGAAGCAATAAGACAATTCAATCTGTGAGAGTCTATAGTACATGAGAGAATCTTCATTGTGACCGATTTACTTTCAAGCATATATTTGCAAATTAAGACAGTCATAAACAGGGTCACAGAAAACTTCAAGGGCTTTCAAAAAGTATGATTACTTTTTTTAAGTGGCAATGTATTCACAATACAGATTGTCATTAGACATTTCGAGGAGTATCATGTGTAGGCATACTCAGACAGCCTGATACTCCTATCTTCATTTGTTTAGGAAGTTTCAACCAGCTATCAGAAAAATATGACTTTGATACTAATTGTAGTACATATATTTTTCTTATCCATACTGGTCAGAACTAGTCGATCGGTGAACTGGCATGAGTCATTCTTCACCATACTCATTCTATAAGAGTCAAAACAATATCTCGTTTAGTTATATCTATCTCTAAATTACTATAGAACTCATATAAACCTTCTGTTGCACCATTATAGTGCTTTTATGAAATATGAATATTAATGAATGTTGACGAATAAGGCGAGAAAATTGCATCAGTTACGTCAGTTTGCACAAAAGATCTCAACCAACATAACAATGTTTTTTTTAACCTACTGATCGATTGTGACAGAGTTGTTGATATATATGGCACAGTCTGCTGGCTTTTAGTTCTGTCAGGGTCTGCCATACATATGATGAAATTTTTCACAATGATTACAATAGCTCTGTTATGTTTAATATTTTAATACCGTCAGAATTGCACTGAAAATTTTTTCTTCACTATCTATTTCCATAAATTTTCTCTGTTAGCGTTTATCGATACATAGAAAATTTCAAAGAACTACCAATTCTCTATTAGCTTGGTACACTAATTAAATGTTTACTAGGCTTACAATTATATGAATCACCTGCATATGTACTCTGATTCTCACAATGCTTTTACTTGATTACTTCTTATGTCTTTCTAAAAGAAACGATATAAAATAAAATAAATATATAATAAATTAAAATGACGAACAATGGTTTTATTTTGTTTCAATACTATAACCTCATGTTGAAGTGAGTTGATAAAATATATTAAGCGTATTCTGATGAATATTTACTTGATAGAAAGATTCTAATGCATATTTCCTCATAGAACTAATCATTGGCATCAGCAAAAATGTCTTTATTGGCAACAAAAGTGTACAAAGTGGAAAAAAATCTATACCGGTCGGTAAGGTACTCTATCGGACCAGACCGAACGTTTACCATTATCGGTTACAACTCTAGCGTGTGAGCTGACATCAATAAGGAGAAGATCCTGATTCTAGCCGTTCACGCACGCTCAGCAAGAGCCATGCAATTTCAGTTAACTGAGCATCCAAGCAGACAAAAAGTTTTGAAAACGTGTTTCAATGCCTTGGTTGCAAAAAGCGTTGGAGAATTTTCAAGTCCATGCAGAAAAAACCAAAGTCAACTACTTTCATCACAAAAGATCCGTGAATGCAGTTACAAACGCAGTGTTAGCATCTAGAAAACGTGCAAACGTTTTTGCTTTCGGAGTAATTTGATGTGTTTTGCAGAGAAAATGATTCTTTTATGCATGCTGTATGTTACAAATATAGTCAAAAAAAAACTTTAGGCATTTTCTATGTGCCAAAGTTACATTTTAAAACGTCTCTACGCATCTTTTATGGTGAAAATAGCTGGTTTGAGTTTTTCCTGAATAAACAAGAAAATGCTCAAACGCGAATCCTGATTAGGGTGCTTAAATGCCTTTTCAAAGATCCTTGTTAGCCTAGACAACGACTCAATATACTCAGTGCATACTACCACCAGTATTCACTACAGCATTTGAATGTACCACTATAAAAAATGACATATTTTGATAGAGCCGGTGTCTCAAAGTTGCAGTGAACGCAAATGCTAGCAGAGTCAGCTTTATACTGCACATTCCTACACTCCTACCCCAGTATATATGTATATATATATACTATAACAAGTAAAAAAATTACGTTTTTCTTATATCTGACTAAAGCCTCACCAAACAATAATGACAGGCTTGTCATCTTAACTGAACACGTCAGTGCGTATACCCATCGAATATTAAATGTTTTTTATGAATTTCCAAAATATTACTTGAGTTTCTGCTACAGGATATAAAGGAGGTAGTGGATTCTGAGATACCCCATCTGGTGGAATCTTCTCAGAATGTATGTGGATCGATATGTCAAGATTTCGTCGTATCCTCATGAAGTATGATTCTTGATATTATTGCAAAACTGTTGGTAGTTTTGGATTCATTTCGTTAGCCATTTAGCTTTACTGTCACTTTGAATGATACGTTTTAGTCGATAGTAAAATATAACACTAGCTGTATATTCTCACTACGCGAATTAACTTCAGCATTTCCGTGGCATTGTATTTCTCAGAAAGTCATAAAAGGTGTCATATGTCATCGAATCTCATCGAATTTTTTGGGAACAAAAGAACATTATCTTTATGCGGGCAATGATTTTAGGATCCGTATGCATAATTCAATTAGTTACTGGAGAGCACCTGTTGTTGAAATGCACATAAATGCTGAATTTCTTATAATCGGAATACAAAATTAATTTGACTTACTTTCTTATTTTATTATTTAATATTCGAATGAATCGATTGAATATGACATCGACTTATTAATTGAAATGAAAGTTTATATTGGAAATTTATTGCAATGTTTTGAATAAAGTAACTGAATGTTTGTTTATGACGTCATGTTAAAAAATAGAAATGAATTGTTAGCAAAATGTCATCTACGAATTGGATTATAAAGAAGGTCGTAAGTTTTTATAAATTTTCGGCGAAAAACCAAACAGTCTAGTTAAATTTCTGATTTCTTTTGATTTTAACCAATCATATTTTTCGGTTTTCATCAGAATTTTTTTTTCTTTTATTTAATTAATTACCACCTCAGTGAATTTTTATTCGATTCAAATATTACACCAATGAAAAGAAGTGAAATAGTATCACACAAACACTTACATTAAAGGTATTTCCTTAGCAACCTAATGTAATAATGGCCTCGTTTTTTTAGATTTATTTTTTTCATACTACATATTCATTTGCTTGAGACATGACACAGGAATATACAGAAAAACAAATTGAAGGACTTCGAAAAATTCAACGACTATGGCGTCGCTATATTGTATATGAATAAATCCTTTTATGTCTCACAAAAAAGCTTGTTTTTTTTATTGTTTAGGATGTGCAAGTGTTTCGTTTCTATCGTGATCTAATTCATTTTCATAATAATGGTGATCCACAAATTTTAATGCGTACAATAAATCCAACAGAATCAAAATACATAGATTCGGCAGCTGGTGTTCGTATACGTTTTCGTTTAGCTGGCGAACGTTTTCCACCGACAATTTATTATAAAATTTTTACAAATAGACCTGTTCAAGATATATGTGCTAATGCTCCAAGAGATTATACTCGTCCTTATTTAAGATTAAAAAGTGCAGTTGATTCGAATAATAAATTAAATCGTTTTCCACAACAAGGTTTGTATTCTTGAAATCTTCGGCATTTTTGTTTTAATGTTGTTATTATAAATTTAATAATTGTCATAGATCAAGAAGGATGGTATCGTCGAATAGAAAATAATGGTTGGAGACCAGTTGCTTATACACATTTATTACAAGTTAATATGGATCAATATTTTGGTTCATATGATTCAAAAAAACCTATCCCATTTTCACATTCAAAAGTACGAGGCAATGAAGCTTTCATTTTCTGAAATGTAATGTTTACCGATCTTTGTTTTATTCTTAGTAGATGCAGCGACGACAAGATGTTGAACAAAGGCGAAAACAAAAAAAATTAGAATGGCTTAAAAAAATGTATGATATATTGTTTTGCGTCGCTGTCCTATTTTTTAATAATATCGATTTCAATAGGTATAAAGCTGGTATGCTTAACGCCGATAAAAACGATGAACTGAAAGAGAATGAAAATGAAAAAGAAATGTCTCGACTTATCAATGAAACAACAACAAGTATATTAAGAATATATAATGCATATGGTGCAGAAGCTGTTGAAGATTGGGAAGTTAATGAATTACTTGAATGGACACATAATCTTAATTATGATGAATATTTACTTGATTGGAGAACAATTGGTACAAGTGGTTCATCGAATATTATTTTTGGTATGTAATTTAAAGTCTAATATTCTGACTAATTTTAAGTAAACAATAATTAATAATTGAATAGAATTGTGACAATAGAATTCTTTCTTGAACGCCCATACATTTCATTTAAATAATTCATTATTATCAAAGATCACATGACACAACTTTTACATGAAGGATCTATAGGAATGACTTTTTTTTCTTTTTATTCAAAGCTTATTCGTTGTAATGATCGAGTAAGAAAAGTAATAATCAAAAATATGACAGCAATAATGCAACAAAGAAAAATCTTCACTTGTTTTGAAATGCAGTGCTACCACCTTTTCTGCTATTTTTCTGTCCCTTTTGCATTTTAAACTTTCATCATTTGAATTATCCACTCTTACACTAACTCATCTGCTTAAAAATGTCAGAAAAAGTGCTATAAACCTTTATTAGAATAGTTTTCTCATTCTTATACTATATTTAAGGATAACATATATTTTCTACGATTACGAAAAGTGCTATTTTAATTTTATTTTTAATTTTTATTTCTTTACCTATCTTGGCCTTTTGTGCTGCTACGATTATATAGTTCGCAAAGGAATTGACTACAATGATATAAATATACCTTGTTTGTTGATTTTGTAATTTTTTAACGTAATTTTGAAAAGAATTTCGTGTTAACACAATAGTCGGAGATATTTTTAATGATTAGATTTCAAGGTTAAACCTTAAACGATTCAATAATTATTTTTTGCCTCAAGAAAAGACATCAATTAGTATAGTTATTTTAAGCTTCAAAACTTCTGGTGCTTAATTTCTCTTTAATATGTATATTCGAAATCAAATTAATTGAATTCAATCGATCGCATAATCACTATCAAAGACTATTTTAAAATAAAAATATATGCTTCTAAGTTTTCATTTTATATCATAAATAATCATGCAATAACAAATTCCTAAATCATTTTTTGCTCATATCCAAATAAATTACAATAGCCCAATTTTCAATTAGAAATTGAGATCTAGTCATTAAAAGTAACTTCTATAATTGTCATTAGCGGTTACTCTGTTGTTTAAACTTAATTATATCGTAAGGCAAGTTTTAAGTACTGCGGGCCGAACTTTTTCTTGTTCCGAATCTCATTTGTCTAGTAAAATCTCGTTGGACCAATCAATGATAACGTGGTTAACCGTGCACACTACAATAGCCAACTTCACTTGCTTAGTTACCATGGCAAATTCACCATCTTTTCGATACCAAACCAACATTTCGAAATGAGAAAAAATTTGCCGAAATTGTAAGAATGTAATGAGTACACATCTGAAATCTAGTGTTTAAAAATTCGATTCCGTTTGGAGGCTATTAAAATGTTAGAAAATAATCGTTCACAGTTGAAATTTTCCTTATATGGTAATAATTGGTTGAGTGAAGATAGCTCAATCGAACTGAAGTCCATAAGGCTTTCCTCTATGAAAGTCTAAAATTTAGAAATAGCAGACGTCATATAGAATCGCATTCTGACATTTTTCGAACTCGTGTAGGTAGTTGTCCTTTCTACTCGGGGTTTACTCGAGTGGCAGTCTAGTTCTTTTTTTTGTTATTTATCTAAATATTAAGATACTTGTATGAAATAAAAAAATTTAAAGTATACAAAGCGTTTTGATATAAGGATTAAAAAGAAAATTCGGAACATTCGTGTTTTCTAAATTGTCGCGTCCTGCGGGATGAGACAAACAGAATTCTTCGGGATTGGAGACTGTGTCGCATGACTTTAATAAAGATTCTACAGGATAAAGCAGATCAAGGATTAGAAAATTTTTCTCAGTTAACATACATGGTACGAAAAGAGACATGTAAATTATATTTAACTATGACCATAGCAAACCAAAACTTATTGAAAGTTATGAGTAGTAGACCATTAAAACAAAATATGGTAAATCATTCTAAGCGATTAAAAATGGGTATAAAAACTGTCTCACTATAGTACCATGAAAAAAAATGCTTTTCTCTTTTTAAACATTACAAGCTGGAAACATTGTTCACATGATACAAATTCAGTTTTTTTTTACAGATAATTATTAAGCTGAAATAAACAAAAAAATTGTTTTTTGTTTTTCTTCTTTATTAGATAAATCTGTTCGATATCAACAAATTCGTGATATTGATGATCGAACAAACTCAAGTTTAACTGAATCAAGACATGTATCAATGCAAGCAAATGTACCAACTAATGGTTCATTACGTATTTTACCTATGGTCGAAGGTGAACCAAGTTTTGAACGTGCAACAACAACTGCTCTTTCTCAACCGGATAGTGAGCATAAAACATGAGTTTAAAAAAAACAACACAATCTTGTAGATATATTTATATAAATATATTTATAACAAAAAAAAAAGAAAACAAAAGTCTAATAATCTCTTCTTTCTTTTGTTTTGTTTTATTAGAGAAGTGTAACAGTATACGGTTCATTCCTTGTATTTTTACTTGAATTTGATGATATATCATCGGATTTTTTCATTTGATTAAACCATTGAACTAAATAACTATTCGGATAATCAGGAAATAGATTATAAGGATCAGACATATGTGACATAGGACCATTAATAGATGATGCAGTTTTTAAAAGACTTAAAATGAAAAATGATATAAACATACATAGTATATAAAATAAATAAGGAGATTTTAATGCTAATGTCATTGTAGCAATATATGTATCAAATAAAAGCCAAAAACCTCTCCATAATAGAACACATGTAAAAAAAGCAGTTAGATGACGAATATTATGTATTAAAGGTAGATAATTAAAATAGGAGAATATTGGTTGTTCACAAACTTTACTTGTATAAGATTGAGTATACATTAGTAAAAAATATAATGGATAACCAAGAAATAGACTTGAAATAGCTGACATAAAAGGATTTTTTGGAAAAAGAAAAACATCAAGTAATGTGTAAGAACCACGCCATGCTAAGATAGATAAAAGTGATATGACATATTCATAAAAAATATAATTAAGAAAATGAGAAAGACATTCATTTATCTAAAATAAGAAAAGAATTAGGCTTTGTTTTTTTGTTTTCGTTTTTTAAATAAATCAAATCAATTACGTTTTCTGTTAAAAATGGTGATCCAATTCGAATATTATATTCAATTGAATCATAACTAAGTATAAATGGAGCACAGACAAGATCACATGGATGTCCCATTAAAGCAATAACAGCAAATAGAGCAACTATACTAACTACAAGCATAAGTAGCCAGTCAGCTGGTGTATAACGATCCCATATTGTCCACATTGATACCCATTGTATTATGTAAGTTGTAGCAGTAATAAAAGTATGACATTGTACAATCATAGAAATAAATAATTTTGTTTTTTGTTTTTGAAGATAATCATATAGATTATCTTGATTTAAATAGATAAAAATAAAGATCAATTGAGCCAAGATATAGAGCATAAGTAATACTATCCCATGTTTACCAATAGGAGTATCAAGCCAGACAACCATAAAATTCCATCCGGCTTGCCAAAAAAGTATTAATAATGGAAAAATAAAAAATCCAGCAATAATAGGTTGACATATAAAAAATATTGTACGTCGTATACCGGTTCGAATGATGACATTACATTGATCTGATGAACCAACATGTTCATTAGAAGGACTAGTTGTATCTCGAGGTGAAATAAATCTATCGAGTAAAGCAATTGTTATTTCAGTGTTAGTTCGAGAACGAAATTCAAAAAGAGACTGTGCCCGTGGACGAATACGGCTATTACAAATAGTTAATTCATTCATTATCAAATCTCAATAACCAACATGCCTATAAATATTAAAAACATGATGCAGATATTCAATTTTTCATAAAAATCTTTAAAGTACAGTAGTAAACAAAATTCCTCGTACGATTTTGTTTTAAGTATAACTTCATTAAAAATCGTTCTTTTGATCCACATTGTGTACCAATCGTACAGGCATTATCTACAGTATATCTACACTAACAACTCAACTGCTGAGAAAGTTGATTCAGTAGTAGGCCGATGTAGCTAACATTGAGGAGGGATCGCGATTTTTCGCAAATACAAAATATCTTTCTTCTAACACCATGCAATAAAAGAATTTCAGCTCTCCTGAAAAAAAATTAAAAGTTTTTCATGATTGTGAAAGTGTTACAATGTTTTCGGTCGGGTGACAGCTAAGTTGAATTTTACTTAAGATGGACTTGAAATAGTGCGAAGTAACCACTTTTCGTCAACAAAGTTTATTTTTTTCAGAACATGTTCCAACAAAAGAATTAATATCCACGAATAGGATAAGTCACAGGTTACACTTTGGCAAAGGAATCTTTCTAAAAGAAAGCTTTCTATGAAGTAACTTGATACTTTACAGTAGATGTATATCTACAGAAGGAATTTTTTTTAAATTACGCGGTACTAAACGATTGGAAAAGCATTTCTGCAGCTGATTTTCAAGATTACCGCTTAGCTGAGAACATTCTTATAATAATTTAATAGCGTGGCTCAAAAAAAAACATCTCTTCATGTAAATACAGATCTACCATAAAGTAGGCAAGCGGATTCATAGATAGCTTTCTTTTGAAAAATTTTTTTGCCAATACGTAGCTCATATTTTTTTCTATTCGTTCGGGCGGGCTCTATTTTTTTTAAACATTTTCGCAGCCAAAAATAATATTCGTTGATGAAATAGTGAGTACTTCGGACTGTTATAAGATCACTTCAAATATGACTCAAGTTGGTAGTAGTAAGAGTACCGAATCGAGTCAATTTAGAGATCCACTAAATTTTTTGCCAAAAATGCAGGTTTAACCTATGAACTATTTGTAAGAGTAGGTTTCGTGTTCTGATATTTACTGTACAAATTGATGCACGTAGAAGATTTCAACAATGTTTTATAGAAGCATCCAGATACGAAACAAAGTCTAAGTCAAATTCTACTCTAACTTTCTTTCATTTCCACAGGCGTTGATAAGACGTCGTTGGAACCTTCACAACACATCAATTTGTAGAGTAAATATCAGAGCACAAAACATACTGCTTAAAAATAGTTCATGTGTTAAATTGAATTGTCGACAGAAAATTTAGTTGACGCTAAAATTGATTTTCTACAGGAATTTAGCGATGGTCCAATTGAGGAAAGTTGTTGCTGTGCCTCTTCAATCGTGGAAACCGTCTATTAGTTTTTAGAAGACTTGAAGTTCTCTTATTGTATTTTGTTAGAAAAAAAATATTTTCCCTTGCAACAAATCGCAACTCACATTCCTTCAAAACGTTGGTTGCTTCTGACTACTGTCAACTCAAATTTCTGAACTAAGTTTTTTATGTCAATATATTATAGATGATGATTGTACCATTGGCAAAAGCCTCGTGTCAAAATTTACCTTTTTCGATGAGGCTACACGAAAAACAAAATTGTTTGAAAAACTTTGTTCACCATGGTATCCTTAAAAAAAGTATTTTTTATGTCTATTAGAAATCAATCATCTTGTTTTGATCATGATCCTCATATATTGCAATAACAGTCATCATTCTACTTACATTTGTAAGAATTGTTTCTTTTTGTTTATTGATTAATGCCCGCTGTAAAATATTAAGTTTGTTCTTATCTTGACTGTATTATTCAAAACTAGTAAAAGATGACGTTGTTTGAGTATAATTTATTTTCTATGCACGAATACAAGAAGGGCATCCAATATTGATTCTGTGTTTTTTTGGAATGAAAAGCCTGCATGGATAGAACAGAAAGAAAGAGACACCCGTTTTTGGTTCTCGTCGATTGACAGATAAGTGCAAAAGTAAAAGAAACAATATATATTTTTGCATTAAAAAAATATAATTACACAGACAAAAAAAGAAAAGAATGTTACTGTGATTCATGTTGTCAACTAACTCTAACAAATACAATATCTTCTTTTGTTAATGACTATTGAATTTTGAATTACAAAATGCTAATGAAATAAAGGAAAAACAAAATATAAACTTTTATGCGTACTGTCAATAAATTTCTTGTTTGTAGATTTTTTAAAATGCATCAACCACCAACTATTCCCGAAGGTGATGAAGAAAATGAAGGAATTGAACAAGTCACTGAAGGAACTCGTTTTCCACATTCGGGTGCGCAACAACAACCACCACCGATTCATGATACAACAACAACGGCTGCTGAATTACAAGTACGTGAGGATGAAGGTGTTGGTTATGGAGAAACACCAATACTAGAAAGTGAAATAATTGCTGTTAGTGATAATGTAACAACAGAAGGAGAACAACAAGCTGAAAATGAAGAACCATCATCTGTTGAAAAACCTATTACTGATGATGAAGCTGAAGTTGGTGCACAACCAGCAAGTGATGCAGAAAATGAAATACAAGGACAACTGGATGAAGAAGGAACTTTAGCAGGTATTAAAGAAGAAGAAGGTGCGATCGACGAATCAGCAACAATATCTGATGCTGAAAAACCTTTAACAACAGTTGCTGAATCACCTATACCACCAGCAGATGAATCATTAATTGCTACTCCACATGTATCAACCGATGAAAATATTAAACCAGATGAAATAACACCTGTCAGTAATGAGTTTAGTATTTTGATAAATGATATCACTGTGTGTTTTATTTATTTTTTTTAATGCGTAGACATCTTATGATGATCAACGTCGATCAGCTAAATCTGGTCGAGATCGTTCAGCTAAAAGTCAAAGAGAAACACAACAAGTGTATGTTATTGAATTATTCTGTGCATTAGGAAAAAAAACAATAAATTTCTTTCTTTAGAGATTTTGAAAAATTAGAACAAGAAGAAGAACATGATGTAGTTCATGAAGAACCTGAAATACGAATAAGTCGTGAAGAACTTTTAGCTCATTATCAAGTTTGTTCATTTCAATTGTAAAAAATTAAATCTTATTCTTTATTTTAAAAGGCTGCTGAAACTGAACGTGATCGTTTAAAAAGTATTAATTTAGCATTACAACAACGTTTAGCTGATTATTTACATAAACGAAAAGTATTTTATCACAAAAACAAAATGATAAATTTTCTACTAATATTTACAATTCATAGGGTACTGATGATTTACCAGCATTCAATCAAAGCAATGAACGTTTAATGCTTGAACAACAACAACGTTATCAAAAATATCTAAGTGAAATTGAAACATTACAAGATCATATAAAACATGATCAAATTGAATATGAATCAAAACGAAATAATTATGAACAACAAATTCAAAAGAAAAAAGAACATGTTGAACAATTAAAAGCTGATTATGTTAAATTAGTTCGAGAGATTGCATCAAAAGCTGTTTTTGCTCGTAGTGGAAAATCTATTTCAAATCAGGTATTTAATTATATAATTGAAATAATTCAGTGAACTTTTGTGTAAATTTTGATATAACTTTTAATACAGGGTTGGCGCTCACCGCCAAGAAATTTTTCTCTTGTGGGTATTTTTATCCTTAACTTATAATCATTATCCTTCTTATAGATCTTTGCAGTGCTTGACTCTTTCTAAATCAATTTATATTTTACTTGGAACACTAAATTAGTATATTTGTTTTTTTTCTAGGAAGTGGAAAATTATTTAACATTATTAAGAGAAAAAGAAGAAGAATTAATTAAAGTATGATAGATTTATATGATTTATATTTAGATTGAATGAGAAAAACAATTTTCATTCTTGTTTTATTAGACACGTCATGACAATATTCGTTTAAAAAATCAATTAAAAAAACGTGAATTACAATTAAAAGCTAAAGAAGAATTAGCTGAAGGTCTTCATATGATTGATTTCGAACAATTAAAAATTGAAAATCAAACATATAGTGAAAAAATTGAAGAAAGAAATGAAGTAAATCAATTGCTTGAAAATTTTATTTATTTTAATATTATTTCTATTTTGAAAAAAAAAAACAAAGGAATTAATGAAACTTCGTAAAAAAATTAGTACAACTGTTCAAATTCTTAGTCATATTAAAGAAAAACTTAATTTTGTTAATGAACAACGTATTCAAGCAGCAGAAATACTTGAAGCTAAAGAAAAAGAAGTCAAACAGGTATATATATATGTGTATAGTTAGTTTTTGATTAACATGTTTTAAGTTGAAATAGGGTTTCTCGTTAAAGTACATTTTACATTGTCAATATTTGAAAACATTTATTTTCTCGGTATAAAATATAATGACAAACAATTATTATTACACAATACTGACAGAATCGAGGCCATTTCTGCTTCAGACAAATTTCTAATAGATATTTTATTCTACAAAATACAGTTTACTATATTAGCTAAAATAACGAAAATGTAATTTGTTGAAAGATTTTCTGTATTGTCTTAAAATACAAATGATTTAAGAATAAGGAAATGAATATATTGAGATCGTTAGATTTGTCAATGGTAAAATATTAAAACTAAAGAATATTTTTACTGATCAATTCTAAAAAAGAGGTTTCATATAAAATTATGACTTGATGTATATTCATTGATTAATAGAATTAATAGAATTCAATTTGAAAGGTTTTTTTTACATTTTGAGTGCTTTAGTGACATGAAAAATAAATCAAAGGTATTTAACGAGATTTTTATTCTACTTGTTTCTTTTTTAGCTTGAGATATCCATTAAAAATTGACTGACAGATAATGATTTATGAGACTTTTGTATTCAACTTAAGTTTTGGTATTCTTATATTTGTCCTTAGTAGAAGATTATTGCAGTCGTATTCAAACTAAATGATTAATAATCTAGGCATGAAATTTGAACATCTAATTTGTATTTATTTACGAAGAAAACTTCGGAACTTGAAAATCGCTTTTTGAGTTCGGATTCTATGCATAAGATAGGCTTCAATGATATTATTAAGTCTCAAAAAGATAAGAGTCCCTAAGCCGTCCCTACAAAATTATAGCCATTGTATTGAAATTTAAATGCATAGCACGTATGTAGGAAAGAACCGAATGAAAATATTTTGGTTTGAAATTATCAGAACATTCTGGTAACATAGAATTCTATGTATGTGCTAAATTTCAGGTCGAAATATTTTCATTTGATTCTTTTGTACATACCCCACTGTAGGCTAAAGTTTTTTAATAGAACAGCTATTAATTTGGAGAAAAGGTCTAGAGTTTTCATCCTTTTGGAATTTTAATACCTCATTAGGATTTATCTCATGTCTGGAGTTCGAAGTCAACAACGATTTTCAAGTTGAGCAGGCTACTTTGTTAAAACTAAAGATATGCACGACTGAATATTCTTTGTTTCGGTTTCATTGTAAGAAAATTAAACTATAGCGCAAAAGTCTGAGCACAAAATATTCGTTCAGTTTCCGGCTACTAAAACAAAACTGGTTAGAAACAGAATTTTAAATATTTTCGAATATATGTTAAGACTTTCTTTCTGATGTTAGTTTGAACAACTATAAATGAATTTTGTGAAAAAGTCCCAAATCATCTCTGTACCAAGGAAAATAACAGTTTTGGTCCAGTGCTTAGTGTGTGTTTGTGAACATAATCAGCTCCAGAACCGTAGAGTCCTGACTGTGCTACAAATTCAGATCTTATAATAAGCGAAACCTCATTCCACTAAAGTACTAGTTTCTATGGAGATTACTATTTCATAAGCTGTTTTTGAAAAATACAAAACCTTTAAAATATGTCGTGCAAAAGTAATTATTACGCTTTGTTCTACAAAGTTGAACCATGAAATTCGGTTTCACATTTTGAACTTGATAGATTTCAATCGAAAAACAAAATTGATCAAAACAATATTCTGTAAGATAATTTCCTTGAACTTTTTGAAACAATTTGATGGTAGTTGTCTACTTTAGAACAGAAGGAAATTCTGAACATATATTCAGAATTAGTGGAAAAGTTTGTTTCTAAGTGGTTATTTTTACGAGGTCGAAAAATTAGTTAATATTTAGAATAAAGAGAGGAATTTAGAAATGATATGTTTTATTTAAAATCTTTCTTTCGAATAGAGACGTGATGAACTATCAACAATAAAACGTCGCCGTGATCGTTTAAGACAAGAAAATCAATCATTAAAACAAACATCTGGTCTTATTGGTAATGAACAATTATTACGTGATTATGAAGAACGTTATGATGAAATCGGCAACTGTACGGATAAATTAGAAAATTTGAAAAAACGTCACGCAGAAATAACACTAATGTGTAAAGTATTAAAGAAAAAAATTTCTAAGGTTTAAATAATATATTTTTTCAACATACAATAAAAGCCGTGTTTTTTTTCTTTCTCTTTACTTTTTTTCTCCTTTTAATACAACCATCGATACCATAAAAAGAAATAGTATGTTTGTACAAGTTAAAAATATTTAAAGTGTAAAATATGGTTGACGAACTAATGATAAACATTGTTGTCGTAAACGATTAAGGTCATTATTTTTATTTGTTGTTGATGATATCGAAGCAGCTTGTTGAAGAATATTTCTATAATGATATACTGTCGAAGGTAGAAAATGACAAAATAATAAAAGTGCTGCAATTATATCGAGATTTGGTGATTCTACAAAAAAAAAGATATTCAAAAATGTTTTTTTGAATATTTTTTATTACCTTCTTTTAATTGAGTTGTTGAATTTTGTTGCTTAAGTGCGCGTTCAAATAATGTTTGTGTAACTAAAGGATTTAAACCGGATGCAACACGATAGACTGATTCGAATAAATAAAGCTATAATAATAAAAAATAATGTGAGAAATATATTTATATTTATAAACATTTAAGTTACCCTTTGTTTAGGTAACTTCATCATTCGATTGAGTTGTTTATAATTATCTAATTCTTGTTGAAAATCATTAAGATAAGGAATTTTTTGATCATTATTTGTCATTGTACTTGTCAGTAGACGAAGACGTAATGAAAGGATACCATCGATTAATAAAGTTTTAACTGCCTAAAATAGATGAAAAAATAAATGAATTCAATTAATAATTTATTTAATTGATAAAAGTTTTCTTCTTATTGCATTTTTGCTCATCGATTGTATATTATCAAAAAATTATTAGTCTGGTGTAATAACAATGCACAAAAGATTGAAAATAAAAACTTTAAAATCATAATATCTATAACATACCAAATCAAGATTGTCATAATTATTACTATTAGGACCATTTATAGAATTTTCAATCATTGATGTTATTGATCGACTTGATTGTCCTAATTGTTCTAATAATGATATTCGAGTTGAATTTGTTTGATCATCATCATCATTAAGTACAAGAAGTATACTATGAATTGTTTCAATAATCATTATAATTCTTTCACTATAAAAACAAAATAGAAAAAAAAATTAAACTGATTTTGTTCATGTAGAACTTACTCAACAAGATTCATTGATCGTGCCATATCATAAATAGTTTTATTTGATTCTTCACTTTGCCGTAGTATATCACTTGATATAATAGTATCAATTGATTGTTTATCATTTGATATACAACGTATGACTTGTAAACAATGTTGCCACCATGTAAAACGATCTAAATCATAGTTATTTTTAAGAATTATATCTTGTTGTTGTGTATTATCTTGAAATGAAAGTTGATTTTGTATATTATCATAAAGAGTATATTCATAATACTGTAAACGTATTGATTCAATAAAATTATTATGTTTAAATAAAATATATTTTTTATCAAATATAAATTGATTTAAACGATCAATATCAGCTAACCATAAATCATTATTATCAATTAATAAAAGACATTTTAATACATATGGAATAAATATTGAAAATATTCCACCTAATTGTTTTAATGTTAATGCTGATAATAAATAAATTTCATTACGTTTTTTAATATCTAATTTTTTTCCTGCATTCATTGATGTATTTATTGTTGATATAAATAAATCAAATAATGATGATGATGATGATGAATATTGATATTCAATTTTCCATAATTGTAAAAGACAATCATTTAATTCACGATTATAATCACGTGTATCAATAGATTTTGTCCAACCAGACCAAAATATTAACCAACGACCAAGAAATATTAAATTAACACATAAACGTGTTATTTGCCATGTTATTGATGATAAATAATAAAGAAGTGTATTATCAATTGTTACATAAAGTTTTTCACAACATTTACGATAGTATATACGTGCCTCATTTAATCGATTCTAAAGAAAAATAATTAATATCAATCGAAGAAAGAATACTCAATTCATTCGAGAAAAAACTTATTCATTTCTATGTTCAAGATTCTCTACCACGGAAAAAATTAACGCAAATCGTATTTTTGATAGATATTTTCATTAATATTCTACCATGAAAAATATAAGTTTTTCAGCAAATTGTTTCGTCTATAGGGCTTTGTAGAGCTCGTTTCGCTGATCATTTTGGTAAAAAAAATATTCAAATTTGCCCAATAAATAACGAAGTTTGGAGCACAATACTCAAAAATACCAATCACTACTCAGCAGCGATCACAAACAGTCGAAAGTTTTGAGTATTTTGATCCAAACCCCGTTATTTATTGGGCAAATTTGAATATTCTTTTTTATCAAAATGATCAGCGAAACGAGCTCTACAAAGCTCTACAGACGAAACAATTTTCTGAAAAACTTATATTTTTCATGGTAGAATATTAATGAAAATATCTGTCAAAAATACGACTTGCGTTAATTTTTTCCGTGGTAGTCTAATGATAACTGATCTACTATTTTTTTTTTGAATAACATTCGTTCTAATAAATATGGTGAACAATTACAATAGAATGTTAGTTTTCAATAAATGGATATCAAAATATAAAGAAACATGTTTAACTAATCATGTTAATACACAGCTATAATTTAATTTTATCATTTGGACTGGAAACAAATTCATATTTTCAAATATGTAAGCTCGAATTTCAATCAACAGAAGTTTTTAAGAATTTTTAACAAATTGACACATTTTATACGTAAAAATTTTCAAAAAATGATTTCTTAAGAGAAAGACATAATTATTAAAATACCTCAGCCATAAGTTGATCTGCCTTTTTCTTACAAACATAATATTCATGCATTTCAGATTCGGGTACGATTGGTTCACCATAAACAAATAGTTTTACCAAACAAACAAGACATATAGCAAAATTAAGCATCCAAGCAACCAATTGTCGCCATGATGTACTTAGAAATGCTATTAATAAATAATTAATTGAAAAATTTAGAAGAAGAAGAAGAATTTGTTAACTTACTTGATGAATTCATATTTTCAATATTTGTTGTTCCTTGTAATGTTCTTGAACTAACAATAGATTTTATTTCAGTTGCATCATTATAATCCGATGAATGAATAAGATTAAGTAAATAATTAAATGGATTTGTTATAAGAACACATAACATAAAACAACATAAAACTAATCGTGTTCCATTAACCATACCTTGTTTACTAGTTGTTCGTTTTTGTCCTTGAAAAAAGAAAACAATTAAATTAATTAACTAATTAAAAATGAGATTAGATTTTACGTTTTGGTACAGGACTATATGCTTCATCACTTGAACCAAGTGTTGATTCACTTGAATCACTAAGTGATGATGGTGGTGTTGTTGGATTTTTAACCAAAGTATTTCTATCTGATGATGATACATTATTATTATTTGGAAAATCAACGTCTAAAAATTTTAAAAAAATAAATAAATATTCAACGGTTTTACTATAGGTTAGTATTTCTTTGTATTATCTCAAACTATAGATAACCATTGTTAGAAAGTACTCGACTAATCTTATGTTTTATTGAAAGAAAAAATAAATGAATAAAAAGAAATTTAGAATAGAAATATATCAGGATATAAATCGATATTGGTGATGTAGACTTACTTGTTAAATTTAATCGTTTCAAAATTGTTTTTAAAGTTGTATTTTCTTCTTCTAATCGTCGATTAGCTGATTGAAGTTGTCGAATATATTCAACTGTACGTCGTAATACACCAGATTTTTGTACCTAATAGAAAAACAAGAAAATCGAAGAATAAGTTAGCAACATATAATTAATCTTCATTTAGAGAAATGATATAATATAGAAAATATTCTACACATAATCAATAATCTGTTAAATAATAAAGACAAAAAAAGAATATATCTGTTTATGTTATCATTCAAGGAGAGCTTTATCTATTTATCAGTTATTATTCATTCTTTGCTTACTTTTTCATCACTATCTGCAACAATTTCTTTTAATTCAAGTATTCTTTCATTAATACTTGATCGATATCGTTTTTCAATAGCATTATGTGATGATTTTCGTCGAACACGACCACCATTAGTAGTTGTTCCATTTCCAAAATTAATATTTGTTGTTATATTAGAATGACTTGGTGATGAATCTTGACGACTATTTTCATCTGAACTATTATTATTATTAAAATTTGTTTGATTAATAATTTTTAAAGGAATATTATTTCCAATAATAGTACTATTTTCAAGAAGACTTGAAAATGAACCCACATTTGAATTTGATGCATCTGATGTAGAACGAATTAACTAGACATAAAAGAAAGAAAGAATAAAGATTTAATAGGAATTTTTTTTTTTTCTAAATTTCATACTGCTTGAAATTGATCGAATGTGACTGGTATCGGTTCCGGTTTTTTAATTAATTTAGGAAGATGAGTAGGTGGTGGTGGTCGAGAACGTTTTGATGTTGTTGCTTTTCTTCCAGGAGAATTTCTATTCGATTGATGTTCTGATATATCCATTGATAAAATTGATGAAGACTTAAATAAAAGAAAATAAATGCAAGGTCATTCTACGAAAACATTTTGTTATTTTTTTAAATTACTTCAGAATAATTCGTTTGAGGTGTTGGAACAGATAATGGAGGAGAATTAGAATATTTAACCATTGTTTGTTGTACTTGATGTGGTTCAATTAAAGATTTTAATGCAACTGAAGAAAGATAATCATCAATGATTGGTTGAACATTTGAAGTTTGTGCTATATTAGTTACTGATGTTGAAAATAATGCTTCATTGTATGACGGTGGTAATTCCACTGGAACTTGAGCTGATTGTTGAGGATAAGTATTTGCATTTGCTGATGAATCAAAATATTGAAAATCATTTGGATTTAAATCAAATTCAGAAAATAAGTCATTGAAAGTTGTATCAGATAATTTTAAATCACATGTTAAATAATCTCTGATGTCTAAAATAAAATCAATAATTAATTGTTTTTCTGTTTTTTTTATATATAAAAAGAAA